TTATCTTATATTATCTATATTTACGCTATAATCTAAAATAAAGTTCTTAATATTAATTAATAACTAAAGTTTATAACTTATATAATATAAATAGAAGTCTTAATATCTATATTAATAATAGTTAACGTTAACGAATTAATTAATTTAATAAATCGTTATCTACGTCTTCTATCGTAGTTAATAAAGTTAGTAACGCTTTAAGTAAATCGAATTATATTTTTTATTTCGATTTTCATTATAAGATTCTTCGAGATTAAATTTATCTTCGCTTCACTATTAATTAATACTTATTTATATCTATAGCGAAGCTTAATATCTAGAAATAAATATTTAATAAAAGCTAATTTAATGATTTAAGAATAACTACTTTTACTATTTAGTCGTATCTTAGAGACTTACGCCTTACGATATAGAAGTTTCTAACGATCTTCGTTATACTCTTAAATTTTTCTTAAGAATAGTTTTTATCTTACTTCTTTCGACCTAGCCAATATATTCTAAATAGTAGTTCCGACTATTTTCTATTTTAAAATCTTATTAACTAAGTTTATCGTTTCTTCTATAAATATTCGTCTAAGTATCTTTTAAAGCTTTTTATAAGATATGAGCTACTCTTATTTCTATATATACGTTCTTCTTTTCTAATATTATATAACCGAACTCAATTTCGTATCTTTCATTATTATATCTTAACTTTCTAAAGCTTCTTAAATAATATTATAGTAGATAATCTTTAGTTCTATAAAGCGTATTCGTCTTATTAAGTTTTTTCTCGATTATTCCGTAACTTAATTAGTAGCTTTAAGAATCTCTTTTATATATTATTCTAATTAAGCTTACTTCGTAATCGAATAGTTCTTTTCTTTCTCTAATCGTTTTAGAATAATCTTATAATTTACTATATTATATTTAGCTTTAGACTCTCGCGCTTTACTCTTATTAAACGTTCGAATAGTCGTAACTATAGTCTCTTTAATTTTCTCTTTTAAAGAATTATTAATTACGATTAAGTCTCTATATAGATTTACTTTAAGATAAGAGATACGTAAACTCTTTATTAGTTCTTCTAAATTATAAAAGATATCTTTAAGATAATTTAATTTAGTCTTTAATTATAGAAAACGAATTTCTTTAATATCTTTTTTCGATACTTTAAGCCTTATTATAATATAATTTCTCGAGTTAAAATAAATTTATTTAGCTCGTAGATATTTTTTTAGATATAAGTAGCGAGGCTATATATATTTAACCTCGTGTCACGAGCCCACCGTTGTCCCTAAGTACTCTACGCCCTCCACCCGAATCGGGTGGACGGTATAGAAAGAAAAGGAAAGGATAAGGCAAAGAACGGTTAAGGCACAAGGCTATCGGTTAACGCTGCCTTACCCTTTTCACGTGACAGAAAGAGAGGAAGCTATAAGAGTCTCCTCTCACCTGAATCGGCTGAGAGAGAACTCTTCCTTTTTCTCAAGCGTTGAGTCGTTGTCAATAGGGCTACGTGAATAGAACAAGGCATTCAGCTACTCCAATTCCTTTGTATCTACTGCGTTGCGTAGGTCCCTGATACCTCGCTATAAAAGTAATAAACTATATTACGTTAATCTTTTTTATAGTTAAGTCTTTCGGTCGCGAATATTCTTAATCTTAGCTCTAGATTTAAATTTAATATATAACTAAATAAATCTAAATTTACTATCGTTATATTTACTAAGATACTAATTATCTCTATTACTATTTATATTTATTTCTTTAAGTCTCTTATTTCTAATACTATCGTACTTTAGAAATAATTAAATAGTTTATTAATATATTTCGCTAGTAATAGCTTAGTAGAGAGAAGTACTATTTCTTATTTAATCTAAGAAGTCTAAGAAAATATTTTATTAACTATTTTCTTAGTCTTTTTATTCTTTTTCTTATCTTTTACACTTTTTTTTTTTATCTTAATATCGAGAACTTTTCTTTACGTTCTTTTATTAAATTATTTAAAGTCTAATCTTCTAAAGAGTTCGTAAAACGGTTAGTATTATAGTAAGCTTATAAGCGATCTATAGTCTTTTTATAAATTTTATCGTACTTAATTATTTTAGTATCTTTATAATCGATACTTAAATCTAAGATAATTTTATTACGATCTCGCTTTAATAATTCTTTTAATAACTATTTATCTAATTAAATAGAGATTACTTTCTTTTCTTTAAGTAAGGTATCGTTAGTTCTTTTAAATTCGCGTAAATAAATATATATATTTTTCTTACTTTCTCGCTTTTTATCTTTAAGTAATTATAAATAGAAAAGAGTTAATATTAACTAATTTTTATCTTTATTCTTTTACTTCTTTAGTATCTTTCGCTTAATATCTTTCTAATCTTATAGTTTATATTTAGATAGATTACGAATAATTACTATATAGAAACGATTATAAAAACGAATAATCGCTTTAGTACGATCTTCTTTTAATTATTTATTATATAGAGATAAATACTCGAAATTCTCTAAGAAAACCGTAATATTTAAGCTTTTAAAGAATAAATATTCGAAATTCTTCTTACTTCTCTATAGTATCTTTAATATAATTAGCTTATTTCTATTCTACGCTATTATCGTCGAATTCAGTGTCGTTATTATTTATATAGATTCTAAGAAAGATAGTTATAAGAAATCTCTAGAAGAAAATAAAAAGATCGCGGAAGACGCTAAAGAAGTATTTATAATCGGTTCTTAAAATCTCGATATTCTAGATTACTTTAATATCATCGCTTCTATACTTCGAAAGAACTAGTTTAAAAGCTCTTAAATATCTATGATTTCTTAGAGTAGTAGCTAAATTAATAAGTAAATTAACTACGCTTTTAGTAAAGCGTCTTCTTCTCGAAACTTAATTTAATAGTCGAATAAATCTCGTTCTTTAATACTTAGTTCGTAATCTTTTCGATCTATAAGTAATCTTTATATACGAAAGAACCGATCTTCTTAATTAGTTTTAATATTACGTAAGTAATCTTTATAGCGTTAACTAAGTTCGTATCTTAAATATTAATTAATTAAAAGAACTATATTTAACGTAATAATAGCTAACCGTCGATAATATTTTCTTTATCTATTTAATCGTAATAATCTAAAATTACTATTATAACTTTATATTAAATTCTCTATTACTATATTTCTCTATCTTAAAATTTTTTTATATTTCGTATTTCTTTACTTCTTCTCTTTATCGTCGTTTCGTATATTTCTCTTCTTTCTTCTTATATCTTAGTTCTTCCGCGAATATACTTTTTTAATAACTCATTTAGAAGAACTTCTAAATCTTTAAGAGATAATCTTCTTTTTCTTTAAGTTTCGCGTTAAACTTTATACGTTATAATATTATAGCGTCTCGTTCTACTAATTAAATATCTTCTCTTCGAAAATATCTTTATTATAGTATTCTATTCGCGACTAATTAATTTACTTCTTTAAAGAGTTATTTATCTTAAATTCTTCTTAATATTTCGATTTTAAACTCTTTCGTAGAAAAGATTTTCTAAATAATTAGCGAACTTTATCTCTATAAATAGTCTCATTATCTTTTAAGATTAAATCGATATCTACGTAAATTTTAATTATTAATCTCGAACTTCTATTTAATTATATTCTTTACTCTTTAATATTAACTTTAGTAATTCTTAATATAGTATCTTATTAAGATATTATCGTAAAGAGCTTAAATCTTCGATGAATAGATTATCTTCCCGCGGTCGCTAACTATAATAGAGTACTTTAGGGTTTAGTGTATACGTATAACAACGTATAGAGGCCTATTTAGTAGATCGGGAATTGAGAACGCGTTTCTAGTTAATACTAATAAGATAATATTACTAATACTATCTAGAGAGGCAGCGGCTAGGGCTATAAATACTTAGTATAGCGGGAGCATCGACGGATAGAACAGAACTAATAAAAAACACTTAGAAATTAGGTAGACGGCGCCAAAAACCATGAAATTTATGATGCTCTGCTTAATCTCTAATGAATGGCTTACTGTCAGCACTGTAAACTATTATACACTCCCTTCTGCCAGCCCATTTAGATTTGACATGTGAGTAGACAACTTTTCCTCTCTGCCACCGCTTTACCAGCCCAGCACGGCCTATCACAGCACAGCCACCTTGCCTTGTTACAATATATTCGTAAAGTTATAAATTATTATATTAGCCTAGGGCTCTCTCAGTAGAGTAGCTCAGCGAGCCTAGCGGTCTCATGGGCTGCGTAAGACGTAGACTTACCTTAATAGCCCAGGGCAGCCCAGGGCTCTTAGGGTCGCGCGGGAAATTTTGCCGATGTGCGACAAGCGTGCTACTTATAGCTTCTCGAGGACGAGAAGTCTAAAGGGGGGGCAGTGTTGCGGATTTAACAAAACGTCGGAAGAACGGACGCCTGATACCTTAGAGAATAATCAGACCACCAGCTAAGCATTGATGCGACTTAGGGCAGTGCGTCCTTATTACTAGTATACTACCCGCATGAGAGGCGCACTCTTCTTCTCTCATGCTTAGAGTCGTGTATAGAATTAACTATATACTATAGGGGTACCTTATATATGCGCTTATCGCTAGATTCTGCCTATTTACCAAGGAATCCCTAATATCTTATTTAAATCGGGTGAGAAGAGACTCTTCTTCTTTCTAAGCGTTGAGTCGTTGTCAATAGGACTACGTGACTAGAAAAGGAGTATTTCAGCTGCTCCAGTTCGCGGTACCTAATGTGTAGCATAGGTCCCTAATATACACTCGTTAGATTAGTTTGCTGGCGAACGATCCCTGACTGGCCACTTTTAAGAGAACATCTAATATCGATATTCGCGATACCTTCAATATTTCGATACTATCGATACCTATCGATACTGAAAGTATAAAAAATCACACTGGATGGAATCAATATTCTAGGTAAGGAGTTACTGCGTGGATGGATATCCCTCCCTTTTTCCTCCAGGAATAATACGATCTAGAATTATCAGTTCAACTCGCCAACGTCTTCTGCAGCGCGCTCAGCTGCTCCAGAACGGCGCGCCGACTCGTCCCGCCGGTGGCGTCCTTCAGCTCGACGGAGCGCTCGTAGTCGAAGACGCTCAGCACGTCGTCGCCGAACCGCTTATCCACGCCCTGGAACTGCGCAATGCTGAGTTCGTCCATGCCCTTGTTCTCGTCCTCGGCCAGTGCGACCATCTTGCCAGCTAGGTGGTGCGTCTCGCGGAAGGGGACTCCTGTTTGTTTGAATGGGGTCAGCTTCAAGAACCAAGAAAAAGGGAGGGAAGGGAGTGCGACGAAAAGATATTGTCGAACGAGAAGCTTACCTTTTCGAACCAGGTACTCGGCAAGGTCCGTCGCCAGCATGTCTGGGCTCAGCGCGGCGCGCATCTTCTCCGGATAAACCGTCGCCGTAGCTAGCGACCGCGCCGCAATCTGGAGACTGTCTTTCAACGTCTTGACGGTGTCCAACATCGGCTGCAAGCTCTCCTGCAAGTCCTTGTTGTACGTGGACGGGATGCCCTTGATGCTCATCATCAGGCCAGCCATTGACCCAAAGATCCGGCCCGACTTGCCGCGCAGGAGCTCCAGCGAGTCGCTGTTTTTTTTCTGAGGCATCAACGAACTACCAGTGGTGTATGCGTCTGCCAGCTTGACGTACCCGAATTCGAGGGAGCTGTAGAGGATCAGATCCTCGGACCAGCGCGACAAGTGGCTGCCGATCGTGGCGGCGCATTGGAGCACCTCGACGACGAAGTCTCGGTCTCCGACGGCGGACATGCTGTTCATAATGAGGCCCTCAAAGCCTAGTTCCTTCGCCAACTGTATCCTATCAATGCCAAAGGCGTTCCCGGCCACCGCACCGGCGCCGAGGGGGAGTTTGTTGATGTTCTTTTTGGTGAACCGCAGACGCTCGAGGTCGGATTGGAACGCCGTCGCATGACTGAGAAGCCAGTGACTCCATCGGATCGGCTGAGCCCTCTGAAGATGGGTGTAACTGGGCATGATGTAGACGATATCCTGCTTGGCACGGTGTGCGATGACCTTGAGCAGATCGACTAGGTACTGCTCGATCAGGCTCAGCTCGTCACGGAGCCACATGCGCATATCGGTCGCTACTTGATCGTTCCGGCTGCGGCCCGTGTGGAGCTTTCCTGCGATGTTTGTCCCAATAATTTCGCCTAGACGGCGCTCGTTGGCGGTGTGAATGTCTTTTTGCGAGGGTGTTGTTAGCAGTTGATTTCTGGGAGGGCAATCTTGGTAACAGTAGAGTTCAAACTTACCCCCGCCCATTGGTTTGACATATCGAGATGCCACTTGAGCGGTACCCGGATGAGGGCCAACGAGGCAGAAGTACAAACAGCATGTGTACCGGAACTTGCTCACCTTCATCTCCGGGTGCTGGCTGGAACTTGCCCTCTTCCCACTCCTTGAGGACTTTCTTGAGCCCCTCTTCAAGTTTCTCAAATTCTTCTTGGGTCAAAATGCCAGTCTTGACATTGGCCCTGGCATAGGCTATGGAGCCTTTGATGTCCTGGGCGTAAAAGACTCGATCTACAGACAAACTCTCGTTGTATTGGTTCATCAGGGGATCCATTTCCCCAGTGAACCTCCCGCCCCATAGCCGGATGGGATTTGAATTTTTGGCCTGTTCAGTCATTCTGGAGATTTTCGAGGTTGTTAATACATGGGAGGAGAAGTTCAAAATAATGGCGTGGACAAATTCTAGTACATAGACGGAGTTGGCTGGAGAAAAATGGAAAAACATCGGATAAAAAATTGTTTGTTTTTCCGCGATAACATTCTTGGCATCGATTCGCTAATGACATATGCCAAGATGGAGAAAACCTGCGCTAGTCTCCGTGGGCGAGGCTGCGAGGCTGCGAGGCTGATCCCGCCTCTGTGCTTACCACGCTGACTCCTCCAGTACTCCGTACATTGCATTGCGATGGCTTTTCCTCCTATTTGTTGTTATCAGTTCTCGCCTCAGCCACCAACCACTTTTCCTCAACTACGACCTGTTCTGTCTCAGTCAAATGCCGGTGAACGAACGTTCCTCCCTCAGCCGACATTGAAGGCTTACAACAATTCCACGCCTAGCTAGAAGCATCCAATACCTTGAGCCGTGACACCCATCCCCATTGTTACCCATTTCAAAAATTATCTGCAAGGTCGTGAGTGTCTGACATTTTATAATCGAGAGCTAGCCACCCGTATTTCGCCGTGTCCAGCCCCTGGCTGACACCTTCCTCTGCATGACCGGGAGTGCCTCTTTGGCCATCACCCGTTAATGGCCCTTGGATGTCCAATCTTCGGTGCAACGACCGACGTTGCCGTGTCTACCTTCCACGAGCAGCCACCTGGCCTTTGAAAAAGCAGCAGCGATGCTAGCGATCGAACCCTAGATATCCTAACCATTGCTGTAGTAGGAGAAATATAGATCACAAATGTCTTTGTTTCTTCCACATGCCCACTTGCAAACGGTTGACGCGTGTCAACAAGCCCAACAACCATCTTCGGCAAAGGCCTTTGGGCTTCTTTCCTTTTCCGTACCCTGCTGAAAAGGAATCCCTTTCCATTGACTTGGAAGGTAGGTGGGCAAATGCCACCGACGCCCAAGTCGTGCCTTTTTGGAGAGACCCGGTCCGTCCGCCCTTCATACAATCTTGATTTTCTGCTTCTTTGTTCCGATGAGCCAGTCGTTCCCGCACGTAAAGTGGCCAATCCGTTCATAAGCTCCTCGAACCTGCGACGACTTTGTCAAAACGAGCCCGGAGATCCAGCCGCAGGAATAGCCCGCCACACTCAGACACCACACCGGTACTTTGAAAGGCTTATAGCTCTCTCCTTCTTTTCCGCGCCGTACTGTTGTCGCCTGATGAGGCCCCGTTTCATTCTCGATTGCGTCTTCTACTAGCAGTGAGTCCGGCGAAACGTCGATAGCAGCCCCACAGCCGGTCGTCATCAACTGGTACCCGAATTTGTAGTGTTCTGGAGCCACCAACGTCGCTTCTGCCACAGGGCCGCATAAATCGATGAAACCGTCCGTGACCTCGCCTAGCGGATTGAGTCCGAATACAGTACAGGAGGCTCTTGCAATCGAGATGTGAGGGCTCAGCTCGACATCTTCGTCCTTGCAGTCCTCAAAAGGCTGAATCTGGGTGTCGACGGAGGCCCATGAGAAACTGGGCGCACGGTACCCGTCCAATCTCGGTGCGATGTGCGGTGATTCCAGATGCGGCGCAGAAGCCCAGAGTAAGTCCTCTACTAAGTTATCTCTCCACAGTCCGGCAAGATAAGCGGACTTTGTGGCCGCTTGGACCTTCTTAGCAATGCCCGAGATCGCTGGCAGCTTGTCAGATGCTACTGTCAGCTTCCGGAGAGTATACTGTGCGACAATGCGGTGCCAAGTCCCGAAGACTTTGGGATGGCGTTTCGTCGAAAGCAGTTTGGGTAATAGACCTGGTGTCGTGGCTTTCTGGCTTGGAGATGGATTGCACTCGCAACGATGTGTTGAACGACACTCAAATGTAAGCTCTGTCTCCGTGTAGTGCAGGATCCTGGGGGATAGGACATTTTCTTGCAAAGCCCAAGCGCGAGCCCTCAAGGGTCCCTGAACTCGAAAGGCCAGGTCCTCTTCCGAGGCTTCGTGGTGGTCGAGAACTTTTCGCGCTTTGATCGTAAACGCTTTCCCTCGTGTATTCTGGTGTTCAAGGCGCAGTCGCTTCGGGCGATGTGCCAGACAGAAGTGGCTATTGTCCTCACAAGTGTCAGCCGCGATTGTCACATACGAAGCCTCATAGATGTCGCTCATCCTCGCGGATTCGGTTTCCCAATCCCCTTTGTCATCTTGAATGATGCATAGACCGTCAATCCACAAATAGCGGATATTCAGGCGGCGTGTGATGGTGACGGCGTCTTGAAACAGGGCCGGTAAGGTCCCCCAATCAATCCTTTCCCGCATTTCTGCTAAATTTCCGCTTGTCGTTTTCACTGCCGATCCACGCCCCCAACAATAGCTGAGTGTGACATACTCAACTTTCTTTCCCTCCAACTCGACCAGCTTTAAACCTTGGTCCTTCCCTTGGACGTCTATGAGTCGCGTCGGGAGTGTGTTATTAGGGGAAGAATTCCGGCATGCGCCATGCTTAGGGTTTGATTTGCAGTCTTTGATACAATTGCGAGCGAATTCAAACGACTCATCAGACCCCGAGTGAATTGGAATGCGGCGGGCGTGGCCCAGTGTCGGCCACGGTGGCCGCTGATCTGCCATAATGTCAGGACATTGACGTTATTGTCGTAGCGAGACCGCCAAATGCGTGTTGGGGAATAATTGACCAGAGATAAGGAAGACGGGGATGCAAAGACATACCTGACGGAGCATACAACTCAACCACGGTAGTGTTGCTGTTAGACTCTTGCACCGACACCTTGATAGGCGAGCCCTCCAGAAGATCAAGACAAACCGGAGCACGTATGCGGGACCATTCTCTCCCGACAAAAGCTTGCAGGGATTGTCGCAGAAGTCGGCAATATCGGCAATTGCTAACAGATAGCTGCAGAGTGTCTATGCAAAGCGTAAGATTGGCGCTGGCTTTAGTAGTACTCTCTTCATTGTACGAGCTGGACGCATGGCCTCGTGGACTCAGGTTGTTGCACAGCTTGCATCCAGAACGTGTCCTCTTGCGCACAGCACTGTCTGCTGAGCTTTTGCCTCGAGCTCTGGGCATAATGAGCTTCAAGTCCAGGGGCCGAGACTTAGTTAAGCTCAAAAGAAGCTCAAAAGTTCCCCAAGAGCCCAAACAGGGGCTGGCGGGCGGCGTTACTCAGACACGGAGCTCTAAATGGGCTTTAAGCTCAAAGCCGCGAACGGTGATGTATGACAGATAATGGATGGCGATATGTGGTGGGAAAATGCAATTTTCATTCATCACGCGAGCTCTGTGTTGACATCTGGTAGCGTGGCATGGAAAAGGGTTATGGTGAGGAGTGCGATGGAGAGAATGGTTTCATAAAGGGGCCAAAGGGGCCACATCCGGGAGGAGAGCCACGTGATCTCGGCAGGCCAAGGCCCAAGGCTGCCCAGTTTTGTAAAGACAGAAACTTCTCAGACTTTTGACATTCCTTGTATCTAGCACGATGAGGCGAGGAGGGTACTGACAATTCGCTGTAAAGAGTGGTGTCTCCGCCGCCAGTGTCGTCGGATGGAGCGATGGAGAACACAACAGTCAAAAGAAACCGTCCGGCAGCTCAAGCCTCTCGCCAATCTCTTTACGCATTTTCTTCTCCTTGATCTCCTGCGTGGACAAACCCTCGCTCCCATCAGGAAGCGTCTTGCTCAAGATATCGTCAGCCCACTTGTCGGCGTCGAAGTCTGTGCCCATCGGGTTGGTATCATACAGGGGCCCGCTCATGAATGCGTCAGCGTCCTCTGGGACGTCGAAGTTGTCCACTTGCAGTTCGATCTTGTTCCCATCCGGATCTCGATAGTACAAGCTGGTGGTCGGGCCGTGATTGACACTCCACAGAGGCTTGATGGGATTTTCCATTGACTTGAGGTAAACGTACTGCTGCGCTAACTGTGTCAGAGTGGAGTATGAGAAGGCAATGTGGTCGAGCCCAGCGCTGCTCTTGCTCTTGGGCTGCGTTTCTGGGCTCGAAATTAGGGCGATGCGGTGATGCTCCTCGTCGTAACGCAGGAACGCCAGAACGGGATCTTTATGGACGAGCTTGGCTCCCAAAAGGTCCTGATAGAACCGGATCATGGTTTCATAATTCTCAGGTCTCGTGCGCAAGACAACATGAGCTAGTGCTCGAGGACTGTGGTGGATCAGTGTCTTTGCTGGGTTTGATGTGGCTGGTTCATGAATTGCAGAAGGCGCCATCCTGAACGCAGCAGTTCCTCGCAAGTGACTGGCAGTCCAATGGGTGCTTCTTGGTTCGTTGGCTGGATGAGTTTGGTGCGTTCTTTTCACGTCGACAGAACCCGAATGTATTTATCTATTCCTGGTCCCCAATTGATCACCCCCGCCCCCCGGATCGTATATGATGGCGGAGTGTGCCGGGCAGGGCCGTGATTCGGTACTCGGAATTCTCTGAGTTCAATGCTTGCCTGCTCTGAGCCAACACGGGCGCGAGGCTGACGGCTCCCGGGGCCAAGGCTGTCTGAAAACCGGCCCCGAAAGATATTAACGAAGTCTGCTTAAATTTCACCCCGGCCATGCCGCTTTTACAACCACTGAGCTCACCAAGCCGCCCCTATTGGCAGGTTTCTAGCCTAACCGAATCCTCGTCCAAACTCCAGATAAATGGAGCAGATATCTCAACCTATCAATCTACCCATTTACCTGATGGGTTCAAACAAAACCAGCCATAGGAATCCAGATGTCTGGGCGCGAGCGTCGGTTTGTGTCTGACTACTTAAGGTCCTCCGTTTCCTTTGCCAGCACCATTGGAGCTTCCAACGGCCGGAGACATATGATTAGGACACTTGCCCTAGCGCTAGCACTCGAGACTTAGGCTATTCGATGTCCTCTTTTCCTCATTAAAAAGACCAGAAAGCTCTCTGGTTATAGAGACTCTTTATAAATATTGCGCTAACTACGAACAGGGACAAAATGTCAAGAATGTCTCCAAGATGAGACACATCAGGCCGTGACTTCACTTTTTCTTTGCGTTTCTCTCATACAAGGCCATTATTTGCTCCTTATGAAGCGGATACAACGATAGTGGCCGTCATTTCTAGCGAAAAATCATTGAAAGAACTATTTGCGGTTGTTGCAGCATGACGGGAGCAAGAAGCCCGGAACCCCCCTGTCATGGACCCTGAGCTCATAAACCGAATGGCACGTGTTGGAGAGAAGATTACTGGCGAACATGGGAGATTTTTACTGCAACACGCAAAAATGGATCAGCTCCCGGCAACCAGTGATGGGAAAGATGTTGCGGAACTTGTCATCCTCGACGAAGCCTGTGGAACGGGCGCAATCAGCTCGCGGCTGCTCCACATGTTTGACGACAAAACCAGGGCGATGACTGACCTCACCATGTTGGACATTGCTAAGCCACCGCTTGAATATGCTGAGCGGCGAATTCAACTAGAAGGATACAGCTTGAAAGCTTTCCGAACACTCCAGGGAGATGCAACGGACACCAAGCTGCCTTCTTCTCATTTTACACATATCTTCCTCGCCTTCGGGCCCATGATGTTCAACGATTGGCGAGCGGCTTTGCGCGAAATCCATCGTATGTTACGACCAGGCGGACTCGTTGCCATGTCTACCTGGGATGACGGCGGCTGGCTGGCTGATGTCCGCGCTTCGCTAGCTAGTGACCCCTCTTTACCTCAGGCACCGAGTGCAAAGGAGCTACTAGAAGCGTTCAGCCCCGGCAGTCACTGGAGCGAGCCGATGTGGATCAAAGGGAAGCTACAGGAGTTTGGATTCGAGGACATCCAAATCGAAACGAAGGCGAGAACGGGAACGTTAGACGGAATGGATGAGTTTATGGTTACAGTCCCCTTGACTTTAGGTAATGTCATTGAAAAGTGCTGGTCTCAAGAGCAAGCTGCGGCTCACGGTAACCGAGCAAAAGAGACGTTGGTCAAGTACGTGACACAGAAGTACGGATCGGGTGAAATTAAGTGGGGCTGGGTTGCCCATCTGATAACAGCGAGGAAGCCTATGCCAGCAAATTGAAATAGGTTCAGCCTGAACTGAAGGGCACGCACAAAGTTGAGACATCGGGCTTATAGCTAAGCGCAAATATGTAGGAATTGACAACAACTCAACACTACGGAGTAACGGAGGCCTGAAGTGTCTACAATGGATGATGAGACATTGATGGCGAAATCCTCTTCTATCATAATTTTTGGAGTCCTGGGTCCGCTTGTATACAAAGGATAGTTACTCTATTGCCTCCCTCGCCCCTCTTGCCTTCTACATCTCCTTCACTGGCGCGTCGGGTCGCTTTTGAGGTACGAAGCTGTAAAATTGGTGGATCGGGCGAGTAAAGTGGAATTCTGAGTGGCTTTTCAGACTGAGTAATATATGTTATGAGCACATCCAACACATCTTCCACGCGGCAATACCTATGTCATGGATTTAGTAATATTGGATAGGCCGCTCCCTTACTCTGAGGAGCACGATAGGGAGTTGTCCTGTGCTCAATTTTCCTTGACTCGGATGTTCATGCATGAGTTTGAGGACCTTAAGGCACAAAAAATGGCCGCCGCCCTCGGTCACGTTAGGATCGACCGTCGAATGCACACGACCACAGCAAATCTACCATTTGGCTCTGCTGAGTAGATCAGAACCTCCGTGTACGCTTCTCTTATATTGCAATTTCATAGTTCAATCCGAAGATGGTTTACGATGTGGCCATTGTTGGCTCAGGCCCCTGCGGCCTGGCTGTGGCAGCTCGGTTGCGAGACGCCACTCCTTCTGCGCTCTTTACCGACGACAAGAATTCCAGATACTGGCGGAGATTCAATCAGCGCGAGGCGATTGAAAACGAACATAAGTCCCAGCGAAGGGCGACTCAGTCGAACCGGAACGACATGCCTCCCTCTTCCAGATCGATCATTGTGCTTGATGCTCTTTCCGACGAGTGGATGTCCGCATGGCAAGAGAGATTCCGCAGGTTGCAGATCGACCACCTTCGAAGTCCGCTGTTCTTCCACCCGGATCCGAGAGACAGAGATTCTCTCTTAGCCTTTTCACATCTCCACTGCCGGACGGACGAGTTGCAAGAAATCCCCAACGTGGCCGGCAAAGAAATCAGTAAAGCACCGAGCCAAGAAGAAGCGTCAGAGGCGAGCGCCAGGCAGGGTAAGTAGTGATATAACTTTGCTAGTGCTGATATTTCTCAAGAAACACGCTCCACCTCCGCATTGACGACCGAGACCGAATAGACTATTTCACGCCTTCGGCTGCGCTCTTCCATGATTTTTGCGACGACATTGTGGACAGATACGGGCTTCGGAGCCTAGTCGTGCGAGCAAAAGTCGAAAATATCGAGTACGGCGATCTGGGCGGGTTGATTAGCTCCGAAGGATTTACCTTGACCACCAACCAGGGGGCAATATTCTCCAGGATCGTGGTTCTCGCCGTCGGACCTGGCTGCAAGCCTTGCATTCCCATCGACAGCAACCTCCAGCCGGGCGCGGAGCCGGGAAGCGTTTGCCACTGCTTCGACACTGTAGGCGAGCACTGCCTTCCGGAGCATGTTCTACAGAAGATCGATCAAGGACTACCAACCTCGGTCGTGGTGGTTGGGGGTGGCCTTACGAGCGCTCAAATTACCGATCTCATCATTTGTCGTGGCGTCACCAATGTGTGGCTGCTTGTCAGGGGAAATTACAAGTTGAAGCATTTCGACGTCGACCTTGAATGGGTGTCGAAGGTGCGCAATGAGCAAATGTCGGTTTTCTGGTCGGCTGATAGTGATCAAGGTAAGTTGGGCACTGAAACGAGAGAATTTCTGTCACTGACCTTCCGACAGAGCGCTTCGAGCTGCTCAAGGAAGCTCGAAATGGGGGCAGTATAACACCCAAGTTCGACAGGATTCTTGAAAGGCACATTGTCAATGGTCGTCTGGCTATCATGACCCACACGTGTATTGAAAATGGGATCTGGTGCGGTGAGAGCCGGACATGGTCGATCGAACTGTCGCCAGCATCAGAGAAGGCCCCGCTGTGTGCTGATCACATCATATATGCTACAGGAGCACCTGCGAACATCAAGAAAGTGTCCTGTATGCAGCAAATGCTGGATGAATATCCCGTTGAGTCTATCAACGGACTACCTAGACTTACCGACGACTTGATGTGTGGCACAAAGATGTCGCTTTGTTCTTAACTGGCGGTCTTGCTGCGTTGAGGCTCGGCCCTGGTACCGCCAACCTGGCTGGAGCACGACAAGGAGCTGAAAGGATTGCTTGGAAGACCGAGGACTTGCTGGGTAAAGGACAGACATCGTTGCATGACGAAAAGGGCTCAGTCGTCCACAATTTGGGTGACAGCTGGCTTAGAGAGCGGGATATTAGAGTGATGGTCGAGGAGAAGAGTGAATACACAGGAGGTTTTGTTAATCAATTTGAGGCCTTGACGCTGAGTGGAGGTGGGTGACGCCGGATTTTCCCTTTGACGATGAGTTCGAATGTGCACGTCAGATTCTGGCAAGGAACACAAAGGACAGAGCTGAAAAAGCACGGGAGAATTTGACATTGGGGTATCGAAGACCTTCTTCGGAGGGCTCGGCTAAGCTTAGGCCGTGCGTATGCGGTCAAGTGCATTATGAATGCTCGTTGAAGAGAATGACAAATGATGAAGATTACTCGGGCCTAGAAGCACAAACAGTTTCACCCTGGTGAGCCTCTAGCGTGAGCTCCATCACAGAAAGTGAGCACAGGGCGGCAGCACCCTCGTCCCAATCCGGAGTGAAATGCGAACAGTTTCCACTCATCTTGGCCCTTGGCTGTCTGACCGAAGAACTAGAAGGGTCAGCGAGCACTGCTTTCTGTTGAGAGCGGCTCGGGCACTTGCGTACAAAGGCCCACAGACGGGCACGAGGCTGAACACCGACATCAGGTCTGCTGGCACTCAGCAGCACTTCCCCTCTTGCTGGGACTCCACAAAATCGCTCGGGCCGAGAATACAGCATTACCGGGTTTCGGCCAAATGGGATTTCCCACCGACTTCCTCAGCTGACCGAGCTGGCCGCTGAACACGGCCTTCCATAGTCGGCTTGTCCACTTGCAGGGATCATACTTTATTCTCGTATTGCGAGTGATCCACCTTTTCGGGCCTTACCGGGCTTCCCTTACAAAGCGCTGGCTATATCCATGAGATTAGGTGTAAAGTTGTCGGTGATATCGATCGATGAGAAGAAATTCCATGACTCCATGTCGAACTCTAGAGCATCGAACGGGTTCCCCTGCGCCGCACGAGAACGCTGTCAGAAGATTTCAGATACGTGGACATACAATTTGGCCTCTTACCAATTCACAAGGTTCCAGTGGCTCGAGGGCCTCTCCTCTCCCGCTTTCATTTGGTCTCGAGCAGTCAGGCGTAGTACCGGAAGCTTGAGGAGTTGCAGGCACTGTCGTCAAATTGACTCTATCTGTGTTTTTCACGGCTTTGACGACTTTGGCGCAGAGCGCCGCAGATTCTCGTGGAAAATGGAAAGCAATTTCCGACCCGGTGATGTGCTCGACGTGGCCGAAATGACCCGCGCAGATGTCCATGAGTGCCAGGTCACCAATTGCATTTGGCGCGGTGGGATACATGAGCGTATGAACAAAAAGATTGACATGGGCGTAGATGGGAAAGTAGAACGCCAACCACGCAGGGACTGCGGCGTCCGTCGTCAACTTGCGCAGCATAAGGATGATTTGTCGAGCGGCATTTGCCACGATTTCCGAGGAGGCAGTAATCTGTTCTTGGAAGGAGGGATCTGTGTCGGTGCCAAAGCGTGCGGATATCCAAGGATAGAACAGAATAGAATGGGTTGCCATAAAGCTCCCGAAAATGGCGCAGTGTAGGTACATCATAGGGATCTGCCGTTGTGCAGACATGCAATCATGCGTGCTGACCGATGTCCCTATTCTGAGTTCTGCAGGAATAGATTCCAGTAACTTCTCCAGCTGACTGTGGATGTCGTGAATGGTCTCTATGATCTGAGTGGAGGACTGTCCAAAGGCCTTTACAGACATAATTCGACTGGACACCTGGGCAGAGATCCTGGCGTTCCGGATTATCAAGGTGAATATGTCGACGTCCATTGAACTGCCAGGAGGCGCCTTTGTCGGGATTGGAGTACTTATATTGTTGTCGTCAATAAGTGAGGGTCGGCCGCTTCTGAATGCTATCTGCTTCTCCAAACAGTAGATTGTCCACCACAGCCAGCTTCGGCTGAGCGAATCTGACTCGGACAAGGCCCAGGATTTCGATGGTGCTCGGTGAAGACCTCTGGCCTGTGCGAGCTGCACGGCATTGCTGCACAAGGGGAATTCGATAGCAGCATTCCCCAGTCCCTCGGCATAGAACGTCTGTTTGATTCTTCTCAGACAAGCGCACCGTGGGAGAAGGAGTGACGTACCATTAGAACTAGTGCCTGAATTGCTGTGAAGCCCGAATGGCCAAAGATGATTTCACTAAAGGCCGACAAGGCATTATGGAAGTAAGGTTTTGCTTGGGCTTCTGCTTCAACAAAAGACACATTGTCGTCGGCTGCCAGAATGCAACGACAGCCCAACGCGTAAACAACATTCCGCAAGGCAAACCACGATGGATCCTCGATCTGAAAACCCTCTTGGTTGTCAAACTGAGCTTCTAGACGAGCCTTGAACTTTGGGCCATGAAGAACCCCAAAAACAGCGTCGTAGGAATGATCGAAATACGCTTTTGGCCGAAGTAAGCGACGGGGTCGTTTAATCTTTGGAGTAGGCCCTCACCTTGAACAAACCTGAAAGCTGTCCCTCTGTCGGGGTCGGGCACCCTGTCGGCTCTAAAGGGTTGGAATCTCGGCATTTTGAGTCGTCGACTCCACGTCTTGATGAGGCTGTTTCCAATATCGACAAATTCATCCGATCGGGTTCTTTCACAAACCCATTTCAGGCCCGGTTGAGAACAGACAGACGCCCAGGAATGCGGGCCATGGTGCTCGTAGTTGACTTTGTGGAGAGGAATCACCCCATCCTCAACGATGGCTAGTGCTTCTTCTGGGCGGGATGTACTTGCTGACTGGACTTCTGGTTCAAGTGCCGATGAAAGAGTCATCCTCTCGGTCGGATCCATAGCTGGGGCGGTGCTGGCGTCCTGAGTCGCACTGGTGGAGTGAGTGCTGGAAATGCGATTGATATCTGGGACCCAAGTCCGGTGAAATTGTGTCCTCGAGAAGTCGCTGATATCTTGGTTCTCGCCCTGCGTAGTTCCTCGGAGTCGTTTCCCACGCCTCGATGCTGGGTACAAGCAAACTCTGCCATGGCGTTCGCAATTCTTGCAGGGTGAGCTTCTATTGCATTTCACCTTTCTTTCGCGACAATTGGTGCAGGCTGTTGCGAGCCGCACGCCCTCTGTTGAAAACAGCATTATGGAGGCGCTTGCTTCCGGCCTCTCATAGCCCACTGGAGTTTCGGGTATGGGATAATTTGCGCAACAGGTGAACAGTGATTTAGTTGTTGTCTGGGGTTGAACCTGCGCGTTGATATGGGGGAATTTCACGTACGGAATAGTTGTGGAGATTAACCCCGCGGCCTGAAATTTGCTACCCCAGTACGATGGTAGGCCTTATCGGTGCAGGGGCGCAATGTACGAGCTGAGACTAACGTGTCCGTTATCGGGATGCAGTACGAACTTATAAAATATGTTGCTACGCGAAGAGGAAAGCCTCGGTCAAAATGTTGGCGGCACCAAAACCCTCAGAGGTCAAAATCTGACCCTCAGGCATGAGGTCTTCGCTGACACGACGCAATACTGTACGTCCCATTTGGAGCAAGGTAGCTAGCAAGCAGAAAGGAGCCTGACTGGTGTCTATTTCTGGTAACTCCTATTAACGGGGTCAATATGTATCCCGAACCCGAGCCTCTCCCTTCTATGCCGTGCCCTCAAGTCAGCAGCATTTCGCCTCTCGAATTTCTCTGCCGACTAGAGTTTCGAATCGCATCTCTCGAGCTTGTTGAGCAGCTTCTCAAGGTGAAAGAACGGCTCGAACTGTTCCAGCATAGACAGTTCATGCTGACTGAGCCTCTGCTTCGTCTTCGCCTGTGCGCCACCGTTCACCACAGCTTTGACTTGGATCTCCATCTTTTTCCCATTGGCGTTGTAAGGGATCTCCTTGACCTCAAAGATGTGAGCCGGGACGTGTCTTCTGCTAAGGTCCCTGGCAATTTGATCGCGGATGCGGCTGTCCAGGTCCTTGTTTGGGAGGAGATGATTAGTAGACTCGCCTTCTCGGCATTTGATGAAGAGAAGGACACGCTCGGTGGTGTCTGAATATGGCGCGGCACTGCGTTGTTGCCCGACAACCAATGAATCAATGATCGATGATGCGAAATGAGGCGAGGACAGGATGTTGTAGATTTCTGAACTGCCGAAGCGGACGCCGGACGGATTGAGGGTACCATCACTGTGAAGTATGTCATTAGCCACATCTCTTCCACAAAGTTAGAGGATCTGACTGACCTTCTCCCCAACACATAGGTCCCCCTTGTCACTGGATTGACCTTGATGAAATCACCATGTGTCCACACATCTTGAGGCTGGTCAGTACGAACAAAGGTCTAAATTGGGAGAAATTGTTGCTAGACTCACGGGGGAACATGTCAAAGTACGCATTGTAATAGCGTTTCTTTCCAGGATCGTTCCAGAACATGACCGGCATATTTGGGAATGGTTTCCGACAGACCAGCTCGCCGCTCTCTCCATCGGGTACTTCGCTGCCATCTGGGGAGTATGCAGCAACATCCATACCCAACGCCTTCATCGCTATCTCGCCGGGATATGCTGGGAGGAGGCGAGTTCCATGAATAAAAGATCCGCACAGCTCCGTGCCGCCGGTGAATTGTATCTGGCACACAGGTCCGAAGGCTTCTCCCAGCCAGGATGCTAGACTTGGTGTCAGTACCGCGCCGGTGGAAAAGATTGTGTGAATCTCTTTTGCGTATGTTTCTGATCCAAGGTTAGTGTCAAAGCCAAAGAAGAGAGGCTTACGACCAACTGGGTGTGAAATTTCGCTTCTGCAGCTCAGCGTAATAACGCGGTCCTGCCCCAAAACCGGTGATGCTACACAATCTCGTTATACGGGGCTCTAATCGGATGAGTGGTGTTTATACAAACCCAGTTGCCAAAATACCACGGAGAAACTCGTCTGGAGTCGGGTAAAACGGCGATCCGTCGTATAAGACCATTGTAGTTTTGCAGAAGAGTGCCCCGATGGATATGTTCCACAATGTCCACCCGATCTACAACTCGTAAGATTCAACTCAAAGGAAGGCACAGAGAGTGGGAAAGGAAGCGGCCTACACCGCTAAAATGAAAGTGTATATCCTGCGGTCCAAAGCCATTGTGGAGGCGGTGCTCTTTGAAGCCGTTCAAGAGCAAACCCTATATGTCTTCGTGAGCGCGGCTCTGCCAAATTTAGACGCCAAACATACGCCGTGTGAATGGACGATACCCTTGGGAGTCCCTGTGGTCCCGGAAGAAAACATGATGACCAGTGGCGTGTTGAATGGGACTTGCTCAAAGTTCAGTGGTGTTTGAGGGTCTTTGTCCTTGATAAACGTCTCAAGGTTCTCGCTTGAGACAAATGAGTAGATTGTTACCGTGAAGTTGGAAAATTCAGACAGCCTTACCACTTGGTCTTGAAGCCAGCCGTATCTCCAATTACCACCAGCTTCAGTGGCTGGGAGGCTTTGCTCGTGCAACCATCAACCTTTGTCGTGATATCGATGCGCTTTCCATTATATGAATAGGATGACTCGGCGAAGACCACGCGGGGCTCGATTTGGCCGAGGCGGTCATTAAGTGCCTTGAACCGCATTAGCTCAATGTGAACAGCCTGGGTCGCATGGCAATCCCACCTTGTCCCCAATATCTGTTGCGAAGGATGCAAATATGCCGCCGACGGCTGATGTAGCCAGAAGCAAGCCCAAGGACCTGACGCAGTTGCTTCCTATCACTAAGAAAAGATCAGTTGCTCTGATATTCAATGTGTATCTGCCGCGGCGGCGCCCCATCCCTCCGTGTCATGCTTACAGGCAACAACATCTCCCTTGGCCACTCCGGTACGGCGCAACGCGTTTGTATAGGTATGAACCAAGTGTCTGAGCTGCCGCCACGTATATCGCCGAGGAGTCCATAGGTTTTCCTCGTTGACGTCGATAACAGCAATCTGATCGTCTTCTCCACAGAGCATATTCTCTGCAAAGTTGAGTCTCGCTTCCTCGAAGAACAAGGGGAACTGGTCGATTGGGGCATTCTCGTCCACTGCCTAGACACCGATCAACGCATTGATTGATAACCACCCAGTGGTCACAGCTTACCTTCTCAGGATGGACGGATGCTTTGATCCCCAGGAACCGCCATGTTGCCATCCAGAAGTCATTCAATCGATTGATGGAGAATGCATGCAAGTCCTCATAAGTCTCTGGGATTTTTGATATTAGCATGGATCCGTGGACAATGCCAGAAGGGTTCGTTCAGATTAGTGGCTTACGAAGTTGCAGTCCATAGCTGCTATTCACATAGTCCTTGAAGTCGGCCAAAGCAGTCCGAAGGCCCGGGGGTGGTGTGTATACCGGAGTGAGCGTCATGGTTTGCTATATGGATGTTTTCATACCACACTGGAAATACATCAAGATGGCTTTGGTCCTGACAGCCTTAAGGTCGAGAGGAAAGACGTATGTGATGTGAAGGGTTAGAAACACCCGATGTCGCTCTATCTTCGGCCTTCTCAACCACGCCCGGGCCGCCTTCGCCGATCTCCCGCAGGAGCTCTTCGCACGGACGAAGTGGAAGCCTTGTGACTAGTGAGAGTTACCGAGGCTTTCCCCGCGTGGTCAAAAATCATCTCTTCTTCGAAGGAAAGGGCGGTCAATGTTTGTATGCTATTGTCCTTATTGAGCAATACCCGGTCAACTCGAGTGGCGATGAATTATTTCAAGGTGTGCGTTCTGTCGCAAAAAGAAGACTAGGGAAAGCGGGAGACTGGATAATAGAAATTGGCCCTTGGACAGACAATTCGCGGTGCTCGGTCTCATTACCAATAGAATCTTCACCTCAAGGGAGCTTTTCCTGGTGCGTTGCTGAGAGCCTTCTCTTGAAAGTATTTCGTATTCTTTCGTCCAAACAGAGCTATTTTCCATGCATATTCGGGTAGCGATAGCCACATTTCCTGTTCTCCCCCAGGTCGTCACGGTCGGTTTTGACGATGATCTCCCTAGAAACCTACGCCCGAAGGAGCGCGGACGTCGATCGACACTTGATGACCCATTGCTACTATTGCTGCGAACGGCAAGATTAGGCCTCGTACCTGATTCTGCGCCTTTTGGATTCTCGGTCTCCTGAATCGGACTGACATCCACGGCTGGGACACTCAATGGCGCAGCCGGTTGAGGGATGTTGTTATTCTTGTCTTCTTGGAACAACCCCAATCCCTGTTACGGCTGCACAAGCTTTTCCTCTAACCGCTTCAATTTTTCTTCATCCGCCGTCTGTCTTGCAACGAAATCCTGCGCGACGATGCTTTGCTCGCGCCTTGCCAGCAGACTATTGAGGTAGTCAAGCTTTCGTTCAACAGGTGTTTTCTGGTATATCCTAGAATGTGGAGAACTTGGATCCGCCATGGTGCCTGGGACCACTGAGAAACCATCATCGGAGCCTTCTTGAGTGGCTGCCAGACTTGTGGCATACACCTGTCGGTCTGGGTAGGGGGCTGGTCTCAGGAGTATCGGAGTCGCTTGGGGGAACGTTGGTGAAAGCCAATTGCTGTTGTATAAGTAGCGCAATTTGCGAGCCGCCCCTCCGTGTGAGTCATGTACAATCCCGGGCCTTCTCTATGGCCCTTCCGATGGACTGTCTGCTCGTCCCAGAGCATCTGGCGCGTCAACTCCGTGCTGCCGACATTCTGAAAGACTCTCTTCATATATCACCCTTGCAATCTTTCTTCTGGCACGTACTTTAGCAAGCGATGATTCCCGATCTAGAATCTGTTTGAAATGATCATCTAAATCGCCCCATAGCATGTCCAATTCTCGATTGGACGGCCGTTGAGGTGGCAATTCACCTCCGCTCACTGACAAGGGCTGTACATATTCTCCCTCAGAAGAGCGATCGTATCCTTCATCTGAAGACGATTCGTTGCTAGGCCCAGCAACGGCGGGTGGTGGTGTCAATGCTCTGGGCCTTGTTCTGAAACCCATCTTGCGTCTGACTGCTCTTGGTTTGGGTTTGTCTTGTAAGACTTGTTTGCGCTTGCCAGTACTATGTGAGCTAGGGCCGTTAGTCGTACCTATTGAAGACAACATAGTTGGGTAGTCAGCTTGTGGCGGGTCTTTCTGACTCGGTTCCATGGTTGTGCCTGCATTTTGGGCCTCATCCGTAGACACTAAATTCAACATTATAGTAGTCCCGGGTTTTACTGTATCTTCCCAGAGATCTGGTAGCATATAGTTGCCGTTCTCCTCGGTCATTGAGAATGATTCATGGTCATTCAAGTTTGTTTTAGGATGATCTTGCCGCTGAGTCTTCTCAATGAGCCTTTTCATGTCCTAGGTTTGTTAGCATTTTCAAAGGCAAGACGGCAGTCACACTCAACTCCCAGGTTCGGCAATTCCAATAAGGGAACTGAAACTTCATTCCATTACCATTGATCAAACAGAGGACTTCTTTCTTCTCAACTGGGGCTCCGGTACTGAGAGACTCTTCGACACCTGCTTTCCCCTCGGTCTGCTTCTGCGCTTGTCGTTTATATCTGTCCTGATTTGCGGAGGGTTTTCTATCTAGAAAAACATCAATTTTCTCATTTTGCTTCTTCAATAAGTCCGAAAAGCGACTAATAATATCATCAGGTGCTGTGCTGATTTTGTTCTTCGGGGTTTTCTGATGGTGTTTTGATGAGATAGCTTCATCCGAGTCTGTAAAATCTTCAGAATCATCGCTAGCAGGGGGGGCGGATATGCATTTGGTTCATATGCTTGAAATCCGCCTTGTCCATAATATGGGTGCCCGTGAGGACTTGGATAAGGTCCATTCGGTGGACCATAGGGGTTTGTCTAAGGCCCGTTTGCCTGAGCGTAGGGATTTGTTACATTTGTATAAGGCCCATTCGGTTGGTTGTTGTAACTGCCATAGCTAGCAGGCACCGAAGTGTACGGAGTGGAAACTGCGCTGGGTGCATGCGCACCTCCCTGTGGATATAGCGGGATCATTTGATTTTCGAGCGGAACAGGAGGGTAAACGTATGAACAAAAAATATGGCTTGAGAGGCGAGATATAAATGCCATTCGTTCAGGGTTAAGACCACTCATCTGATAAACAGCAGCTACGTAGTCTCTTCATGCCCACGCACTCTCTTTGGAGCAGATCTCGTTTCCAGAGCTCCAGGTCGAGGATTCATCCTCCCACCTTCACCGTTGGTTGGAGAATGGCTCAACAATCATGAATGTAGCACACACGAGGCACCACTCACATAGAATCAACGTGATTCTACAGAGTCATAGGGCTCGTCAGAATATCGAGTTCTTCGTACTAATAGGGGGGTAGTCGGGGGGCTTATAGGGGCTACTAGCGTGTTTCCGAGGCCTGGTGAGCCTTCGGCCCAAAACCTAGCCTGATCGCACCCGTCAGGGGTTTCGTATTATGTGATAACCAGCTTGTCCAGATAACGTAGGCGGCGCTCAGGGGACAAATACCCCCATTCACTGTCCAATGTGAACTTGCGAATGTTTCTGTAAACTACTTGGTCCGACATTTCTGCAGACATTTTGAACGTCCTGCAGCAGGCCATAGAGACATTCGACTAGTGTTATGTAATGTCGACCTCTTTGGGAGTCGTCAACTCGTATTCAGGTACAGGGTACTCGGTACGGAGTACGTCGTAGAGCGAAACTCGAACAGTCCCATTTGGAGAATTCACCAGAGCGATCAATCAATCTATCTATCAATCGTCCAGACAGCATTTTGGAGGGATTTTTTCCCTCGCCGAGCGAAGGTTGAGCACCAGCGTTCTGTAAGTTTAGGGACAGGCTAATCAGCATTTTGTGGCTTTGGGAGCAATTTCCAGAGAGCTTTGTGGCGTTATCTGAAACTAATCTAGCTCAAAGATCCTCGGATTGAACATTGGGGTCCGACAAGGAATTGATATTTCCACTCGCCATCTTCCCGCGACTCTCTTCACTTCATGTCCAATATATCTCGCTGCAATGGCGAGTCTAGCAGTCTGGATATTCACGTGTTTGTGGTTCTAGCCTCGGCTCCAGCCCTGTGGCCCACCACACTCCGCCCTAGAATCTAGATATGAACCGCCCTGTTTCGAGGGCAGGGCGTCGCTTGTTGTTTCTAGTGTATCTCCTCACCAGCGTCACGGCCTTAGAGGTGATCTATCCCAAGATTGGAACCATTTATCCAACAACAGGGCCCCTTGACGTGCAATGGCAGTCAACATCTGAGTAAGCATTTCGAAAACTATCTCTCCTTGGTACCAGGCTGAACTCAACACTAGGTTGGATCCCGTGGACCTTGCAATATACCTGGCCACATATAGTGGGCAAGACCTCAAGAGCGAACAGCCTTGCATCGTTGCCGTCATAGATGATGGATCTACGGCTATCACTCTGAGTCATCCGCCACCACAGGGGTAACTTGGTCCCTCCCCCCAGTTTGCAGAAACGCATAGCACAGGCTCATGAACTTTACACCGTAGGGACTCCTGGACTTGGATGTTCTATGACAACGACGTCATCATCTCTCTAGGCAATAACTATATTGCCCAGTCTGTGCATTTCCAATTCCAAAGTGCTACGCCGAACACAACCTCGACCTCAACCCCAACTGCCAAGAACTCTCCAGGAAGCTTGTCGCCGGCTGTTGCAGCGGCCATTGGTGTCGGAGGGACACTCATCGTGGTGGCGTTGGGTCTACTCGTGGGCTACTGCTGCTTCTATCGGCGATGGCAGCAGAGGAAGCGGGAGACCATCAGTGCGGTTCCATATACACCAGGTCATCGATACTCCAAGCAGGAGCTGGACAGTAAACCGGGCACAGCTCCTAGCTCGTCATTCCCCAGTAACCCCAATCCGCCCTCTTATGCTGGAATGAAGGTACCATCGCAGCACGAGATGGAAGTCTATCCCGGTAGCCCCTTCGCGGCCTCGCCATCGAACCACATTGTCTCTCCTGACGCCGAACTCTCGGTCAAGGCACGTCACTCACATCTCCCGCATCAGAATACTCACCAGCCGTCGGCACCATGGAGTGAGCTGGCGCCGTCACCCGTACGGCACGAAATGTACCACGATCCGCACCGCGGTTTACCCCAAGAACTGCCTGGCGATATAGGTTTAGGGAATGCGCAGACTAAGGAGAACTGGTAATGTCCCCGCCGGCACTTTGGACGATCGTCTTGGAACGAGGGCTTGCTTGTGTGCTCTTAATCAAACGCTTCTTAACGCGATCGGCGTTGCTGCGGGAATCTGTAGCTGTGCTTCAAGCGACCGCTTAGAGAGTTTGAAGCTGGCAAAAGCATGGAGAGGGCATCCTCTCGAATATCTTGTTACTCAGACGATCTAGATGGAGAAATAAAGAAAGAAACATCTAGCAAAGAGTGAGCATTCACCGAGAGGCCCGCGTTCGATTCTGATACTCATTCAGCAGAGAGCTGCCCCTTCACCAGAACCTAGTGGGCTCGAATAGAAGGGGCTGAGAAAATGAACCCTAGATAGCCTGATATGATCTCATCTTCGCAATGCGCAATATACTGCGGGACACCCCCAAAGTAGTAGTAACAGCGCACGGTCTTGTTCTCCACATTACCGCCAACGTGCCACTCTCAGGTCTCTTTCGCCCCTTCTTCCATCAACGTGGAAGAGAATGCTCTATCTACCTTTTCAGTCCATGCTCGAGCAACCTCCTTGGTCTCGATTCGATCTGCAGCATCGTTCTTCCTATCCAATCTGCGGTGTGATCGACTGTAGTTGGGAGATTGGCCCATGCTGATTGGAGTCCCAGTATCATGAGAAGTCAAGGTGGCAAAAGGAATGAAAGAACTGAAGGGGAAAAACTGCAACATTTCAAACTTACCAATTGCGAAAAATAGCTCAAACTCTTTGCTGGACGTGCGCGCACCGGTTAGAGTGATTTCTTGAACTAGATCTTTCTTGAGATCCACGAGCTCAACATTAGATGTGTTGAATGTTTCGTAATAAAAATGTCCCAACAGCGGTCGCTTACACATGAGCGGATAGTAGGGGAACAATGTCTCTGCCGTGGCTGGATCTTGGACAATAGATGGTATTTTCCTGCGTCTGAATTGACTTGCTTTCTTGTTGCATTCCGCATTCGTCATCATATCGTCGAGAGTCTCGAAAACGTATCGAAGACCTCCTCTCTCCCAGCCACAGTCAAGAATCTGCTGTAACTTCTCATCGTCTTTAACATCAAGAGAGCTGCGGTTAACGACAGGTATATCGGCACCGAATGGTTGCGCTTGGGCGCGTTCAGCAATTCCCTGAAAATCATTCTTAATCTCACGTACTTGGTCTTCAATAAACAGGAAATTGCGACCTGGAAGAACATAGTTCGGTGTTCGTTGAAACATAGTAAGCTTCCTAGCACTGTGTGCCACAATAGGGATAATCTGAACACTGGTAGCACCGGTCCCAAAGATGTCAACCCGTTTGTCTGTGAAATCGACCTTTCTGTCCGTCTAAAGCCCTATGTGGTGCCATTCCCCCTTGAATGTATCGAGCCCTGGGTAGGTGGATTTATTGGTGCTGATAGTGGACCAGTCGCAGTTATGAGGTACGTGCAGTTATGTGATTTGCCGTTGGAAGTAGTGACCTTCCAAAGGTTTTGTGCTTCATCATAATGCGCTGAGGTGATCCGAGTACTGAGCTCCATGTTTCTTCGGATATCGAGGAAATCAACCACTCGGTTCAGATACTACTCCAGGTCTCGCTGAGTGGGAAAGCGTTCTCTCCACTTCGCTTGCATACCAATATCTTCGAGGAACGAGAGGACGTATATCTAGACTTCACTGTCTGCTCTGACTCCAGGATAACGGTTCCAAAACCATGTCTGATGTCCAGCAAAGTTTGGCGTCAGTGTTTTCCTCAAAAAATGAAAGGTTCAGATTCTTGCTCCGTCCACACCTGAGCCAGCTTCAAAGCACTTGCCATCGATGCCGCGCTTACGAAGCTCATACAGTATTCGTACATCACTTATCCCTGCTCTAATGACGATAGCGGTGTGATCAGGTTGTGAGACGCCGTTCACGACACCATTTGTGTAAGCCATTGTGAAATACCAAGCGTCAGGACCAGGACGAAGTATTGTCGAGCAGTAGTGGATGTCCCTTGTTGCAGTCCGATATTCAGCTCAACAATAGTTCACGTCCACAGTCTAAGTATCTTCCCGTCTAGTTAATGCAGCCGAGGCTGCGAGGACATCCGAAGCAGAAACGAGCCACGTACCCTGCGCTCTCTGCCACAGCGTATGACCAGAACGAAGCCGATACGCAACCGCGCTTGAGAGTCTTTCATATCCAGTAGTGGAGATTGACAAGGATTGGGCAAGCGACTTGGCCTGTGGGGAAGCCTACCCAGAAATGAGGGAGCCCCAGGATAACTATTTGCACCCTCGGTGTGTGAGTTGTTGCGCCTAGGTGAGAGGAGTTCCGACCACACATGATCTCAGGAGGATTATGGTTCATGCATGCTCTCCTGGGTCCTGGCTGAAAATTGTATTGATAATATTTGTATCATAATACCCACGGCAAAGGTACCATGTGTGGTATAATAAGTGATGTCGGTCTGCGGCGGCAGTCTTCATGGTCAGTGTGGCGTCTGGACCGAGGAGCCGGCGATTTTCGAGTTGGATGGTGTTGATACCTGCCTGATCAGATTGTGGACCAAGACGCGTGGTCAGAAATGTTCTTTCTGACACTGCATGGCGGATTTGCCACGAAGCATTTCGTATCCGGCTTGGCCACCAGCCTCAGAGCCTAGTTGTAACTTGTGCCTGGGGTCACCACCTAATGCACTTGCGATCTCAGAGTCTGTCATGTCGACGTAGCCGTGTATTCCACGAAACACCCTGGCGGCCCCTATCACAACTCAGGCTAGCGAACGGGCGGAAAGGTCATAATGACCCTGTCCAGGTTGGTGGTCAAGCCTTTTCTGTATGAAGTCTCTGTCTAAGTCTAAAGTAGAGAGTCAGAAGGACTCGAGAGGGGTGCCAGGGCTAGTCCTGGAATGGGCTAGTGCGTTATGTGGCAGAGCCACGTGACAGCCCCCTTATGCACAGTATTCGATATCACCCTGATTTTTGAGCGATACCACGTCAAATATCCTTCACATTGCTCATTGTGAGAAGTTGAACTGACACTTTAATGTATCCGCCTCACCGATCTTCTTCGAAGGGCGATCGAGAATCTGGTCGGGCCGTCGAGCCTCGAGCATCTCAAGCATGCTATCACTGCAGGAGCCGCAAAGTGAGATGCGATCTCACCAAATTTGGCGCCGCTTGTCATAATTGCGAAGTCGATGGCATTGAATGTTTGATCACCGAGTCAAAAAGGAGCAGGAAATATCGCCTTCGACAGCGCTGGCTAACTGGGAATGTGCCCTACACGGACCTTTCAAGTCTTGATTCTCAGTTAGCGGTTGGGACACAGGAGTCCATCGACAGAAGGTTCTCAGCTTTTCCCGCTCAATCGACAAAGAGGTCCAGTCGTTCGAGCCATAGTGAGACCTGCTATCTTCATCTTCGTTATGTGTGCTAAGATGTCGTTCAGAAAGCACCTCACACGGAGCACTTGGATCTTGTCACAGCCAGCCTGAGACAACAAACAATCTTGCACCTGTCATCAACGTTTCGGTAAACAGCCCAAGCTCCAAGACAACCCAGCCTATTATCTATATATCCGTGGTCAAAACACCTGAAGACAATGTCCCTTGCTATATAAGACCTCCGCAGCAAGAGCTCAGTGCTGATAACCTTCAGTTCTTGGCTCGATCAGGTGCTCTATCGAATCCTAGCAAAGACCTTCGCGATGAACTATTGCGATGCTTCATACTCTATGTTTACCCATATTCACCAGTTATCTGCCTTGCAGAGTTTATCCACACTATTGAGGCCGAAGGGCGAGATGGCACACAAATAAGTTTGAATCTGTTCCAAGCAATTATGTTTACAGCAGCCGCGTTTATAGACAAGCAACTCCTACGACAAGCTGGTTTTGCTGATCGCCGAACTGCACGCACATACTTTTACAACAAAGTTAACGAAAGTCCGGATCGTCTCTTTGTCCTTCTTTAACTAATACTTAGTAGCTCCTTTACGATTTTGACTGGGAAGCCGACCGAGTCACTTTAATTCAGACGATACTACTCCAAGCTTATTGGTATGTTTTAAGAGAGTGATCAAAAAGATCCCTGGCATTGGTTAGGCGTATGCATATCACTTGGCATGAGCCTTGGTCTCAACGAAAAGGGTTCTTACTCGACCAAGCGTCTCAGGGATCAGAAACTTTGGCGGAGGCTGCGGTGGTGCTGTTACGTACGGGATCGGATGATAGCCATTGGCACGAGAAAACCGATGCATTTTGCGGACGACCAAGTACGGATTCCTGCGCTTAGCCTTGATGATTTCGATCTGGAAACTCCTTCAACTGCTATGACGCGAATTCAGGACGCCTTTACCATGATAGACTACGATTGCAGAGTTGCCCTAGCCAAGATGTTCATGGCCAAAGTGAAGCTCCTCTCGACGGTGGGCCGAGTGCTCGAGAAGCTTTACCTTCTCCGATCAATCAGGGGTCCCAACACCGGACCGAGGATGTTCTACAATCCGAAAGTTTCAAACTTTGACCTGGAAGGATTTCTCAAACGAGCAAATGAACTTGACGAATAGAACAATCAGCTCCCAAAACTTTGTCAAATACAGCAGAGTGCGAATCTTGATGGGCCCACCACGACATTTCTTCATCTACACAGCGTCTATCTCAGGATGGTGTTCTTGCTGGTTCTCGAAGCTCTACACCGTCCCTTGAGCCTATCAGGTGGACGGTCCAGTTTGTCAGTACGACAACTACGGCATAAGTCACTGCCTTTTGTCAGAGACTGTGCTATAGGAATGGCGGAATTGGTGCAATCCACCCAAAAACAAAATCTCTTTCGCTTCCTTCCCTCAATACCTATCACTTGTCTAACCGCTACTGTCGCCTCCCTCTTGGCTGAAGCCAAGTCGTCAGGTAAATGCTTGGCAGATCTGCCACAAATTACGTTCCAGCAGTGCGTTCGAGGGCTTTGGAGCCTCAAAGAGGTGTGGCCCACCGCGGATCATGCGTGTATCTTGTTGGACAGATGATCAAGGCCAGACAACTGGATACGGCCGGAATTTTCGGTATACAAGCCTCACGAACACTCCTAATCGATCCAGCGGAAAAGTGTCATGGAGTTACAAACATACAAGCCCCAGGCATAATCATGCAAGACGACCGCATCCGGCAAGGAAGGAATTTCTCAAACTGCTGATTGCCACGAGCAAGACAAGTTGGCAGATTTTGCAAGCCCAATACCTGAATTTGACTACTTTCCCTTGGATTTCGAAAGTGGTTGGTCGGGTAATTTTCAATGGACAGCCGTTAATTTCGGACTTGATGACTAATTTTTCAATGAAAGAGAGCCTTGTGTCAGACCACAAGCCAGCGAAGATTGCATCCATCCTATATCTCATGGTTGGATGGTGGATCTCGACCATTTCGGAGTTTTGAGGGAAAATGAAGCTTATACAAAGTACTGCTTCACACGCTCAGGCCTTGGCCTTTAAATGGTGGCACATAAACGTTCACCCTGTTCAGGCTGTGCCAGACCAGACTTGTTCAATCAAGGCCCTAGGAAATTTATTGACGAGTCTACCAAGGTAGTTGAATGCCATCGTACTGCCATAGTTTACCGCCGTGAGTTTCCTTCGTAGCCTCATCGAACAGCTTGATCATACCATCACATGAATCAAGAAGGCTGTCAGGAGCATGCTCCAGACCGAAGACTCGAGCACCGCTGTCACCCATATCGGTCCGAACCCATCTATGAGAGAGGTTAGATGTGAGAATCGACTGAACATAGAGACAAGACATCCGACAACTTACCCAGGATGGGCTACGAAAGCAGTAAGCTTTTCCTCCTCGCCGTTCATTCTCTTCGTGAACCAGTGTATTGCAGCTTTGGACGGTCCATAAGCGCAGTTGTCGATTGGAGGTTGGTTCCTTCGCCAACCATTAGATCCAAGTAACGATAAAGCAGCACAAACAGAAAACGGCTCTCCAAGTCGATATAACGACTCTTCCAACAACCGTAATGCCCAGGACATATAACTTACTATAGAGCAAGAGTTATATTAGCCACAATTCTGCGAAGACGCTATATGCACGCAACAACAAAAAGTGATATACCTCAATGCTTCCGGCAATTGAGCCCATAGTCACCCATTTCGGGTTGACAGAGTGAAGTAGTAGGGGCAGCATAGCTTGGTAGAGCCGTACAACGCCATAAACATTGGGTTCGATGTGACCTCGAACGGCATTGATGTCGACATTGGCGACGGAGCCAAATGCATAGGCAACGCCGGCATTGGCAATGACTAGATTGATATAATCGATTCCCTGTTCCTGGAGCTCCTTGGCGGCGTCCGAGGCATCTGTTTCGCTCTTTGCATCTACCTTGACGACAATAACACGGCTGTCCGATCCCCTAGGTAAGGTCGTGAGCTCTTTGGACGAGACACTGTCTGGGTCCCGGTTTGCTGCGATAATGACGTGGTTTGGTCGAGCAACATAGCGTTCAAGGAGACCTCTACCTATGCCTCTGTTGGCACCGCTGATCAATATGATGGTTGGTGACATATCTCCTGCTTTGGTTATAGTTCAACCAGCACGGCTCCCAGATTCTTGGAAAATGCGGATGAGATTTGTTTCGGCCATCGACTGTAGACATCGTTTTGCAAAGAATAACCCCCATTTAAATCTGGTAAGCCGTGTCTTTGGACCGTAAAACGGACGAAATATACAGCTATAGCCACACGAGGACCCGCCTTGAAAACACCTATCTCTGACATTGCATAGTCCTGATAAAACCTTGCCCATTGTCATAAAATAGAATATCACATGCTAGAATCGCCAGATGAAGAAACCTTTCTAGATTGTAAGGCGCGTCCACAAACAGTACAAATCGCCGGGTAAGGATCGGCTGAAAGTTCGTTGATAAGCCACTCTTGATAATGTTGCATGAGTTCTAAGGCAAAAAGTGTTGACTCGATTGGAAGATGGGTTCTCGAACATCAATTACTCAAAAATTCAAATTCTTTCTTGGAGTTTTCAGTCATGGCCCGCGTTCGAGAGCCAGCTGTTTATCTCTTTGCTTCCCAAGTGCGTCGCTTCTGACTGGCAGATAGAAGGCCACCTTCATTGCAACTCTCGCAATCTAGACGGGTTAGATCATTTTTCACAGTCAAAAATGGTAAGCGATTTGACTCAAGGAGTACAAGGAATATGAATGACATTGAAAACTGGAATCTGGAATCAACCTGTAGATCGCTATGGATGACCCCCTGTGAAGCTTTTGCTGGCTATCGTCGGAGATCGATGCAGCGAAAAAGCTCGTTGAGTGATGCGAATCGAGAGCCCCCGGAACGTAGGAAATCATCACTGGAAAAGAAGATGGAGACCGGCGTAAGGTCGGTCTCGAATGGCGAAATAATAGCTATACCATACGTGGATTAGGTACGCAAGCCATCTGACCCTGCAGCAAACCAAGCTCACCGGCAAACTTTCCAGCCTCTATCTTCTGACAATAATTAGTAATGCTCCTACTCTCTTCTCGTGCTTCTGCTCCGGCAAGCAGAAGCAACGGTCATTTCTTGTACACATCAAGTTTTGGATCGAGTCGGGGACCAAGACGACGTCTCTGCTTCATGATTTTGCATACAAAGACTCCTTTTACGTACGGGTGCGCCCCAGCGATGCAAAGGAGACTTCACTCGCGAGGAACAGACCTAAAGAAGAGCCTTGAGAGCCCGAAATCCATGGCCAGAGGCGATCCTTGCAGCCCCAACGGCAAACTTCATGATCTCTTTGAAGAGGTTGCGCGGCCCAGCAGTCCACAAGTACATGCTTTCTTCGAATTCTGGGATTTGCCTCTTGATGTTTATGAATTCCCAAGATCTCATATCCCTCAAGGGCGTTCTGAAAAGCGGGCGCGATACTCGATAGAACCTCAACAGGCTATGGCAGGAACAACAAGCACAAATCCCGCGAGCGCGATGATAACGCCATCTTCTGTGCTTAGACTGCTTTCCACCGCGACGATGACTCAAGATGAATATGAATTCGTCTCCAGAGAGGCACTCTCAGCCGTTCTGGAGCACAATGCCTCACAGTCTTCTATCCTATCGGGCGAGAATCTGCGGCTCGAGCAAGTCTCGAGTCAAAATATTGAAAACTGGGATGAAGCGATGTGGTCCAACAGAATACAAGCTGAGTGCCCTGCAATCGGCACAGGTTTTGCCATCGGACATCACAGAAAAGACACTAATGGCGAGTCACGACCCCAAATCCAATACCAAGAACAACAGTGCTGGATTGACACTCTGAATTCTCTGGCGACGTCGGCATCTATCATGTTCGAATATCCGTTTGCGCCACAAGACTTACCCTACCCTGGCTTCCCTCCTGAATGGCAGAATGCACCAACCAACAGCCTCGTCTCTGATGAAGAGGATATTTTCAGGCCAGAACATCGTGCTCATTCGGCTCTCAAGAAAACGCTGCGTCCAAGGCACGCGAAATAAGCATCGTCCGGTGACCACTTGACGTCAACTTTAAACCCCCAAAATTGTGCAGTCAAGTTTCTTCTAAACATTATTTCCACAATCCCTACCCTTGAGAGTTCGGACCGCTGGCCATACACATCGTCTGGGTTGAAAAGGGGGGAATCCTTTACTAAATAAACTCGAGCGTGTTGGTGAATTACACTTTTGCCCGACTCGGCATACGGTTGTTTGAGATTGATACGGCTATTGATATCGACCTTGTTGCCAAACGTGTTCCTGTTTCAATGTATTGGACTTTGGATTCGCCTTCCAGAGATATTTCCACCTACGTTAACGTCCAGTAAAATGTGTTACGTTCTGACAAGGATTAGAGTAGATAACGACATGTCCGAGGTAAAACTGGTCAAGAAAACTGCAAAGATGTGCTCAACTAGTATAATTTTGGCCTTGTGGATGTTAAACTATACCTCTCAGCCATAATTATACTCGTACATCGCTGCAGCGGACTAATGCTAATCTACCTGAGTTGGCTTGTGATAATGGATGCCGTAGGATAGGATTGCCATTAGAAAAGCTGGCAACTGCCCCGGACAACAACTAAATGTGTCAGGTGATCAAAGACGAGTCAAACGACTCAAACCAAATCGTGATTAGCTTCGACTCTTTCAATTCATTGGCAAATTGCAACCCAAAACGAAGCTGATATGCGCCGACGAGCTAAATTGTTATTGGACTTGGGAACGCGCTTAACCGGAGCGGGACTGGTTTACATGCAAGATCAGAAGAAGCGTTGCCGTAATAGGTTAAGTCAGACGAAGCAGATATGCTCTTCATACTAGGTAGACCACCGCCAGACGCTTCGAGGCCTCCGTTTGCGCCTTGGAGGATGAATTCTAAACGTCGTAAACTTATATTGGATCAAAGTCCGAGGTATTCCACCGAAATCCGAGAGGTTTTCCGGTTAAAATACCAAACATAGTAGTTGTGCTCACTGCCGCCTCGGCGAGATTTGAGACAAGCACTTGCCAGCGTAGGAGCCAAAAGACATTTTCTTTCTGAGTGGTCTAGTAGTGGTAGAATACGGTAAAGGACATGTGGGTCATACGGCTGCCAGCGCCCAAGCCTTGCCACTGGTTCCTCTATCTAGAGTGGGCTACCTGCTCCCCATGGGGTTTTGTCCCCTGGGTTTATTGCTCGGCGTCCAGCGCTCAAACTTCCCATATAAAGACTAGGTTTTCTTTCTTACTAGTCTGCATAATTTTCCCTCTATTATTGTTCTGCGGCAGCTAGCAAAATGGCGAGTCTTAGCCTTTACAACATTTACATATACACAGTTCTAGGGTTTGGTGGTTTCACATACGGGTTTGGCTTTTCTGTCTTCGTCGCTGCGGAAGGTCAGCCGGGGTTTTACTCCTATTTCAACCTCGATCCAACCAGTAAACACACTGCTAGTATTATTGATACTGTGAATGCCCTGTTCACAGTCGGTGCAGCTTTTGGATCCGTCGCGCAGTCCTTCGTCGCCGACAAATGGGGCCGCAAAATCGGGCTGGCGGTTTCCGCGATGTATGCCCTCATAGGAGGCGCACTTGCAGCTGGAGCAATCAGCATCCCGATGTTGGTCGTCGTACGCCTGCTTCAAGGCTTCGGACTAGGAATGGTCCTTCCTCTCGTGCCGCTTTATCTGTCAGAGATCACACCTCCTCACCAGCAAGGCCTGCTCTCTGGCTTGCCACTTTTGAGCTTCGGAACAGGATATTTGGTGTAAATGATTCTTCCAATATTTGAACGCACTCAAGGCACTGACTAAGTTTCAAGTTGTGCCTGGATCGCAGTGGATGTAAATGCTAAAGTATAATAGCGTGTTCCTCAGGCTCTTGCCTGCGTCTCATCATTACTCTTACTCATAGCGCTGCCAACAATCCCAGGTAAGTCAACTCTTCCTAGCAGATTTTCCTTCCCTATTGACCCGTCACGATGAGACCCCCCGGTACCTTATTTTGATTGGGAGGAAGGAAGAAGCATGCAAAATTCTCTGCCGGCTACATCACACGCCAAAACATCCAGAAGACAAGGGAGCACGTGCAGAATATACACAAATTGTGCTACAGGCCGAACATAACAAGGAAGAAGAGGCGGGCTTCATTCAGATCTTCAGAAAGCCAACATTGAGGCGCAGGGCGATTCTGGCCATCTTTCTTCTGTAAGACACTGTTCGATACACTTTTTATTTTCCACCGCTGATCTGTCTTCTGACTTTGCATCACCATCGACAGGAGTACGTGGGGTTGCGGTCACCTTATGCTTTTTTCTCTAACTTGGATACCGGATCATTGGCATTTCGAATTATCTTTTAGTTACTTTCTCAGGTCTCGGCTTGACTGGTGTCATGCCACTGGTCATGTATGGTGAATATTTCTACCTGAACATAATCACAATAAATTCTCACGAGGCTTTCAGGAGTCTGGTGCACAATTGGGACGTTGGTCACGCTGTTGATCATTTCCATCGTCGACAGGATCGGTAGACGAACACTTCTGCGTAAGAACAACATCTGGGACTCACTCTCTCCTCTCAACCTGAGCATATGCCACACATTCTAACGGCAGCCCTTTTGATACAGTCACTGCGTATCCATTGCTAGCGCTAGCACTCCTTGCCGAGTCCCTTCTGCAGAACGCGTACATCGACACAGATAGCCGCGGTAGCCTTGGGGCTTGCCTCTTGTTCCTTTTGATCTATATCATCACGTTTCAATTCATTGATTCTCCGGCATTCATTTGGGCTTCTGAGGTTTGGCCAACAAGGTACCGCGCGAAGGGTATCAGTTTCGGTTTTTTCTCATTTTTCATCGGATCTCTCACATATAGAACGTCGAGTGGGGTTGCCTTCAAGGTTATGTACATCCTCCCCACCTTTCGCAACGTTTCAATTTCCGTGATCTTGCCAAAAAAAGGAGCGCGATTCATAATGGATGGCACTTCTATTTGATCTATTTTTTCATAAAAGAGACGAAAAATCTGCCCACGGAAGAACTTGCCGCGCTGTTTGGAGATGAAGTCGTGGTGCATCTCACCAAGGACGGAACTGGCATTTTCGAAGACCCCACCCTTGACAAGGTCATTTCACTAGGAGACGAAAAAAAGAGTCGGGCTCAAGAGCTAATAGACCTAAAAGGGGATGTCCGACAACATGCCGAGCTACGTACCCTGGAAACAGCATCGGCAACAGTCTGAGTGGATGCAGCAGACTAAGGCCACATTTAATTACCAAATGGGCCACATTATGCTGTAGGAGAATGCAGTGGGATAGAGACTGGGAAATTGTTGGTGAGATGAGCTCGAGTTCCTATTCCCTATGTACATGTCGGCGCTGCTCCCAAGCCTAGGCTGTCTGAGTATTGCACTATGAGTAATAAATGCTTCGAGAAGATGGCTTTCTCCTTATCTGTTTCTATGTCCATTCGCCTCCTGATCCAATCTCCTTGACGCTGCGCATGTGTTCGGTTATTGAAAATGGAATCTCCGAACGAGGTTGGATCACGCAAGAGTGGCTGCTCGCTGGAAGGACTATACTTTCTGCAAGGACGTTGTTATCTGATCGTCTCGGGCAACGAGCAAAACCGGGCAGGGTGAAGCTGTCAAGCTCAAGACGACGAAAGTTATCAAAGGGCAATCGCTCTTGAGGGATACCTCGAGGAATAAATAGACATGCGAGTCAGATAGACAGGCGGCAATCCAGAGGTTAGCGAACAGTCTCCGGAAAAGCGCATCTAAAATTCCTGGACGGGAATATGGATTATTACGGATTTACCAGACGCAATCCCTTCGGCTCAAGCCCCGAGAGGTGCGTTGTGAAGGAACTCACCCGTCTCCCTTCCTAGACATAGGTGTGAACCGGAGTGCCTGTGGGCTTTCAACCCATCGTCGTTGCGAAGGGAACTCACCACGACCAGCGCTTGGAAATGTCTGTCCCCCTTGGAGTTTGGGACGCCTTACGCACTTCCTACCATCCGATTTACTGCTTAGGAGGGAGACTTGAGCACGTTCAAATCAGCGTCAACGTCTAAGATGAGTGGTTCGAGACTACGCCGCACCGAAATGTCCAGCGCGTCAGAATACAATTCATCCTCGATTCCGCTGAAATGCTAATGCTAGCCAGTTTTTTTTTTTCTTTTTTGTGTCCTTTTTTACCCTTTCTTAGAAGTAATTTTTGATACCATGGTCCGGTCCCGATGCTCATAACTTTTGGGAGCACACTTGAAAATCAACTAGCTCTTTCCCATGACGCATGTCTAATGCCTGAGGAGAATTTCTAGCTGCCGTGGTAAAACCAGACCATCTGCCCCACGGAGCTTGTCTGCATATTCGAGAATCCCATTCCCAGTTTAATTACCCTGTAGCAATACGATATCAGTCATCTTTAGTGTCTTCTCCGATTGGAGCCTTAAAGAGCATGCTTCAACATACACAAGAGCATTGATCACCATTTCCTCCAGGGATGCAAATCCCGTCACAATCGCAAAGCGCCTGGCCTTCGTCCTGGATGTACATGCAGACGTTGTTGGATCCGCAGTTGATGTTCCCCGAGCAACAGAGCAGGGCTCCGCTGGGGAGTTGACATGCGCCGCCGGCACCGCAGAAGTCTGAGGCTGGTGGACCGACGCAGGTGTTGAAGCTGATTTGTGCGGATGCACTCGAGGCCATGGCCGCTGCCACAAAGAGGAGATTGGTGGATTGAAGCTTCATGGTGACCGCAATGATGCACAGAGCACGACAAAATCTTTGTTGAGATCCAACGAGCAACCCACAGTGGAGAAGTAGAAAGGGAAATTCAAACGAGTTGAAGGGAGGAAAGAAGTACATTATTGCGGCCATGCGGCCATTAAATGGTTCCGGAAGCATAAGGCTGAGTACAGTCATTCGCCAGTGTATTCACCTAATTTGATATACTCCACAAAGTAAGACTCCTGCATAAGATATTGGTTTATCATTTCCTTGTATGGCGAGAGTCCGTAGCGCTAGGGCTCTTGCGGTTGTATCATCCTTAGGTCAAAATTGCCTGAATGAGCCAGAAGGTCAGCTTGAATCTGGTGGGCTTCTCCGGAGGGACGATTAATATTGGGGCTGCATCCTAAGATGCAGACTCGACAGAAATCTTGGGCTCAGACCGCCTGGAATGAGACCTGCAATCAATGGTCAGAAAGAGTAACTGTGGGTTCAGTTGAGCATGGTCAACCCTAGCCCATCTCAGCGCAATCGGCCACAACATCAGGCTCACCTGGCTGTTTAGGCTGCTCGACCGGCAGCCAGATACACCTACAATTTCAAAGGTATGTTTCTCTTGTGCACAAACTGCTCGCTTTCATCGCTAAGATTCCGTCATGCTCGGATCGATGGTCTTCGTCCTCGCGAGCCTTGTCATTCTCGAGGGGCCTCTTGTCGATTGCGGCTTGGATACAGCAAGGCTCTCTGCCTCTCGAACATGCAGCTGATCAAGGTCAAACAGGTGAATATTTGAGGGACTCTAGGAAGGAACATTCTCAAGTATGCGATACGATCTCACACCTGTCCAGAAGGAGAGACTTTGTATGAGGACATGGAGCGAAGTTGATCCGATGACAGTGAGTGCATCGGAGACGAGGCTTAGGAGAAAGGGGTGTTTAATGAGGACATTTCGCTTTTCATTCTATAGTCGTGTAGGCTAGTGAGGCTGAGAGAGATCTGCCCGATGCGTTGATGGCAGTGATAAAAAGATGATCTGGGAGTGTGATTGATGTTCCGAACGTTAACGTAGAGGGAGGTTTGATACTACTGGCACGAAGAACGAATATGAGTACTATAAGCTGTGACTTTGTTACAGCTGCTTTCGTGTAGCCAGTCAACGGTAGAATTCGGTTCCGACGACCTCCCCCAATGATGCAACATCGGACCCTGTAAAGCATAACTCAGGCCCCCTTTTTGCACAATGTTGCAAATGTGTCCCGTGAGATTTCCAGATGGCGGGGCTGCGGGACTTTGGAAACTTGCTTGCGGGACCAAATTCAACCCCCCCCTTCTTTGACTCGGACATAGACACACATATTTGTAACTCAACCACGAACATCCCCTTCTGACTTTATCAATTTTCACTCACAGCCTGACTTTGAACTTGTTACCATGGCGCCCAAACGATTAAGGTCTACCGTTCTCACTAAAGATGGTATAAACTGGTACTATGAGCAAGAGGGTTCTGGCCCTGATGTTGTCTTGATTCCGGACGGCTTGGGCGACTGTCAGATGTTTGACAAGCCGATGTCTATCATCGCTAGCAGTGGCTTCAAGGTGACCACATTTGATATGCCTGGAATGTCGAGGTCCTCTTCTGCGCCGCCGGAAACTTACCAGAACGTCACAGGCCACAAACTGGCTAATTACATCGTCACCGTCATGGACCAGCTGGGCGTCAAAACCGCATCCGTCTGGGGTAGTAGTTCGGGGGCATCTACCGTGCTTGCATTGTGCTCAGGATTTCCCGATCGCGTGCGGAACGGGATGCCACATGAGGTCCCAACCGCGAACCCCGAAAACCTTCAAAATATTCACGATGCCGACCCTGCCACAATCTCTAGAGATATGGCAGCTGCCTCGCGGGCCATGTCAGCGAATGAAGAGGCATGGGACGCACTCGGACCAGAAGTTCACGAGAGGCTCTGTGACAATTATGTCCGTTGGGCTTACGGCTATCCTCGCACCATACCCGGGTCCGCGGCGACGAAGACCGAAGACCTACACAAAGTTCCGATAGATTGGACCGTTGGCGCTGCGGGTCCCACTCAGGTTTTCTTCGAGAATGTCGTGATAGCGACCCGAGAGGGCATCCCGATCAAAACCCTTCCTGGCTTCCATTTTCCGTACGTTTCGCATCCGGAAGCCTTTGCGAAATACATTGTCGAAACGACTCAGAAGTACTTGTGAATGACAGAAATGACGAAGGTACAATGCGATGAGGTAATCAGCGAGACCTCAGAGATTCGTAGTGGTGAATTCATGATGATATTGTCCAGCTTGAAGAGGCGGTGCCCTTGGCATGGAAAAGCGTTTGAGGGCTGATCAGAGACCGTTGTGAGGCGGACGGCGTGCTGTGCATAGCTGTCTCGTTCCTGTCGCTGGGTTGGGCACTCGCTGGCAATGGCCGAACAGCTCTACCATTGGACGGCATAATCAAGACAACATCCTGCTATCCAAGACTGAACTTGGAAATGCAGCTAGTGGAGCCGATCCAGGCCGAAATAGGAGCATGGTTCTTGTGGTTTTCTGATTGTTGAGAGGTCGAGCAGCAGTAGCTTGAGCTACCTTGACATTGAAGTCGACCGGCTTCGGTTATTTCCCGCCATCAAGAGCAAATGCTCGTAATGAGCCGCCTTGTTGTACTTCATGCTGGCTTTTCCCCAAATGACCCATGCTTCTGTTTGTGCTGGGTGTATGAAAGTGCCGGTGGCCTCCGAGAGACGATTGTAAAAGATGGATGTCAAGGCCCAATCAAGACTCCATATCGGCTTGTGAGCGCATAGCTAAGGAATTTCCAGAGCGAGCACTGCCAAATGGCCAGAGCTAGATTTCGTGATAGCGCTCTACCGTGGTCCCACCACTTCTCCCCGCCGAATCACTTCGAAAGTTGGAGCGCATCTTGCAATGTCTTGGCGCTATCTTGCAGGAGCTACGCGGACAGATGGAAGGGGGCATAGCGGCAATCAGAGAGTCGGGTAAGGAGTGGCACCTCCTGGCTGCGAATGGGACTATTTTTGCTCCGAACTGGCGACTGATTGCAATTGCAAACCGACTACCATTTTGAAAATTCTGAGATTCCTGCCAAGAAACTTGGAAGGTTTTGTTGTCGGCTTTCAAACTGAGGCTCCCGAGGCTCACTTGTCCATCTACGTGTGGACAACAATCCAACGCTGCAAATGGCAAATGTCGTTGCGGATCCTGGGCCTGAAACACCCAGCGTCCGACGGCGTTTGTTACGCTCAACGGACACGAGACAAAATTGTCCTTATTGCTCACGAGTCTTCCAGAAAACAGACCACTACAACCGTCATCTCCGCTCGCATACAAATGAAAAGCCATTCGGCTGCAAGGAATGTCCGAAATTCTACTCTCGCTAGTGCGTCTCTATTTCATCGCCACACAGTGTGATACGGCTAATCAGTGAAGTGACTCGCTGTTGCGCCACCTCAGGACTCATAAAATACCGCGAAGGGGGAGAGAACACTCATTCGTGATTATGAGAGACAACGCGCACGAAAACCACCATGATATCTTGCACTCCGCCGACATAGAACAGGTCCAGCACGATTCCAACACGGACTTTTCTATTGCACCAGCATTGGGATCTCATCCTGATCCGGCAGACACCAGCTCCAGTCTGGCAATCGAGGGCCCCAACGGGGAGTGTATCACGACACCTCCCCAATCCGAATTTTTGGTCCCGGAAGATATCCAGAAAGCGTCGAGCGCTCTCTCAAAGCCCGTTCATCTATCTACAAACGGAAATTTAGATGAACGGAGTCTTTCGCTGCCAACGGCAGAAATGCTAACAACCCGTGACTTTGCAATAGATGTCTCCCCTCTAGCTGATCACCTCCTGCATTTCGATGCCACAAACTGGCTTTTGGATGAGAATTTTGTCGATGTTGGGAGCGGGGATTTCAATTGGAATGAACCGCGTGATATCCACGACCAGCCTACTTCGACCTTGTCACATTTACCCTCCGCCAGGGAGAACAATAACTCTCCAGCTGTACTAGACCTGGGGCCGGTATGGTATGTTCAGGTCCATAGTACTGTCCATGATGTTCCAGACGACAACCACAGAGTAGGAAGGCAGGTCATTGATGCTATGAGGGGAGAGATCGACGAGATGTACCGCACAAATATGGACGAAGAACTCCGTGCACCGTTGCGTAACGACCCACTTCCATCAATCGATTTCCTGGTATTTCATCTTTCCATGTGAGAGTTATTTATCTGACGAATCTCACAGAACCTATGTATTCATTTGTATTTTACGCGCTCCAACATCGCATTACCTCTCATACATGGCCCAACTTTCAAACCGAGCGTAAACAATATTCTCGTCGTCCTAACGATGTGCTGCACGGGGGCCATGACCATGATGTCAGATAAGGCTACGAGGATAGGGTTGACACTTTTCGAACGCATAATCAAATCTGGGAATGGGCGCTCATGGGAGAAACGACTCTCTGGAGAGCCGCACCTCATGCGAGAAACTGTTAAAGGGGCAATAATCGGGCAGAACTTTGCAATATTGTCATCTGACCCCGCCCATCGTACAATCGCGGATGCCTATCTTGGAAGCCTTATTTCGGTAAATCCCCCGCGCCTCTCAATGGCACAGGCTAAATTTGCGTCTCAGCTTGGCCGCCACGTAAAGCTTTTCTCTGAATTCCCCGAAGTTGATGTCCCGGACACGATCTCGGCAGAAGAACTTCTAAAGGCATGGAAACAGTGGGCTCTTTATGAAGAGATGAAGAGGTAACAACTGCAGGACTTGTCATATCGTGCAGTCTATCACTGACATTCACAAGGGCGGCTGTAACTTTGCATATCCATGATGCCGAGATCGTCGCTCTCTTCCACCACGAACCAATTTTTCGCCATCCAGCTCGTCGTCTGCCTATCATTGCTTCAGCAGACTTGTTCCAAGCGCCAACAGCGACCATATGGGCGATGAAGTACAGGACACACCGGAAAAGCCGACAATCGCAAGTGACATTGCAGCCGAATGAAGTCAGCTTAGACTCCCATGAGCGTGCCAAATCCCAGAACTGCGTGTTTGAAGGCAACATAAACAATCCGTCCATGTTGAATTCTTGGGCCGCACTGTCGGGCATTGGTGCCACTATCTGCGAATCTCGAGGCTTAAACATACTCTCGTCACAGCGCATCACTGAGTTGGAAGCTGATCTTGCGAGGTGGTACAGCTCAAACACAAATTGCTGTAGTGCAGGACAATGCCGGAAGGGCAAGCAACCCGAGCTTCCATTCTGCCTAAAGCCGCTTTGGCACCATACATTCATGACTCTGGCTGTGGATCTGGACCTTCTGGAGTTGGCCTCAGGAAGGCAAGGAAGCAAGATCTCTGCTACCACACAAGCTCAGGTAGGAGCGTGGATCTCTTCCGCGGATTCAAAACGGTGCCTTCTCCATGCTCTGTGCTTGCAAACGTGGGTTGCATCCACAACTATGGATTCCGCCGTCGCCAATCACACGGCAAGAATCCTGTTCTCGGCTGCTCTTTGTTGGTACTGTTATCTGCTCTACCTACCCTGGTCCACAGCCTCTGCTCCTTCTAACGCATCCATGCCGCTCGACGAAACGTTCGAGTACTTGATGGAGCTTCCAGAGTTTCGGCTCCTACGGGAGGAAAGGAGCCCTTCGGGGCCACTTCCGAATATCCTCGGCCAGGCGGTCTCGGATCTGAAAAGAATCCTCAGAGCAAATACTGCAGAGATGAAAGCCAGCACCTTATGTGTTCTCGAGTCGACTCTCCGACGCCTCGGGATAAATGGCATCTCGCGGCAATTCGCGGACATCATTCAAGCCTTCGTCACTGAGGAAACTCAATGAATTTCTTGAAAGCCTTCGTTGATGTTTTGCACTCTGGGATTAAAGTCAGGAGCGTGGGAGGAATGGTTTGGTGAGATCCAATGCTTGCCTTAGTGATACTGCCCTTCCACAGGGTCGGAGCTGTCTTCGACTTATATTGCTGGCATTGCCGAACGGAGCATTATGAAAACCCAATGTCGATCCAGACAAGCCTCCGAGGAACAGCTCGAAGACGCAGAGGACAAGGGCGGGTGCTGCGGCGATCCAAGCAGCAAATGCGGGATTGGGCCCGGGATATTCGATCATGACGAAGATTATGCCCCTGGGGCGCACTCCCATTGTCCATACTGTGGCAAAACATGTAGAGCCGTGAAGTTAAGACCAAATATATATGTGCTCCTTCGATTCATGGCACTCGCTAGGCCCCTGCCACTGCCTGGTTTGCATGATCGTCCCCTTGCTCCGAGGGTCAAGAGCTTTTCATGGGGGAGGGCCTAGATAATCCCAAAAAGTTAGAGCTACACCTGTTTCAGATTACAGTCGCGAGCAAAAATCCAAAAAATTGGCAATTTAGCCGAGCATCACAACATCATATACACCGCTATATACGCATATAGCGGTGTAGGCCTATATAGTCCAGAACAGCGTAAATTATATAGAAAATAAGTTCTCTATAATACTCTAGCCTATATTCATATATTACCGATATAGCTTCGCTGCCTCGCCGTGAACTAGTGGCCTCTAGCCGCCTCCTGGAGGCACGCGCCTCAGTACTTATAGAGCGATCTATTAGGCGATTAAGTGCGGCGAATACGACGAATATAATAACGTCGGTGACGACCCCTAGAGCTCGAACGAAGCCGTCCGTAATTATCTCTATCGGTTCTATAAGTATAGATACGGCGGCGATAAGTATAAATTAGTGTAAACGTCTTAGATTAATATTTAAATCACTATCTACCTAATTAATGATAACTAAAACGAAAGTAAGAAGAAACTTATATTCGTTAAAAATTAAAACACTTTACTACCGTAACCTATATAAATATTAATATTAAACGATATTAACTATTCTATGTTACCGCGCTATATCGTAAGTGTTCGAAGGACTTAGAGAACTATCTAATGTATAGATAGTAAGGCTCATATAGATCGTAAACCTTATAG